TCCCAGCTGCACGGCCACCAGCAGTGGAGAGCTATCCACGGGGAGCGTCGTGCAGCGGCACCCCCGGGAGGCGGCTTTTCTGCTGTGGCCAAAGAGCTTCAGCTGCTTCGCCAGGCCTTCGAAAGCCTCATCGCATTGCTGAGAATTTCTAGCGTGAGGCCATCAGGGTCTTCCCTGAGCCCCCTAAGTGGCTCTTCTGGCTTGGCGTACGTGATGCGAAAGTCGGGCAGTCCCTTGTTCTTTGCCTCAGGTGGCAAAACGCCTTGGGCATCCGGTCTCAGCCCCCCCTCCCCACCCCCGGCGTTCTTCTACGGACGGAGACGAGCCTGAGTGGAATCCAGTGGCTAAGAGTGGTGGTGGATCAGGACTCAAAAGAGGCTCGGGTTCAAATCCCTATTCATCTGCAAAACCTCAAGGGGTCCTCTGGGGGTCCGAAACACAGTTCCCGCCTGATAGGGCTGTTGTGCGAAAAGGACGTGGTTGAATCAAATAAGAAAAGGAATCCCTCTTTGGCCAAACTCTCTCTCTCTCTCTCTCTCTCTCTGCAGGGCCTCTCAAATAAGAAAAGGAATCCCTCTTTGGCCGAACTCCCTCCATGCCTCCCTCTCTCTCTGCAGGGGAAGCTTTCCTTTCCTGGGTGCCCCCCCCCGGCTTTTAGCCCACTCTCAGCTTCAGCTGACCCAGATCCTCGTCTGGGGATTAGAACCACAGAGGGTGGCGGCTGTTTATCTGTGTCACCCGTTGCATCAGCCTCTGCCAGGGTTGGAGAGGAACCTCTTGGGCAGAAGGGCTTCCTCGTGAGCAGGGCAGGGCAGGATCCGGAGCCTGTGATGCTCCGGCTTCCTCCTCCGGCTTGACTCATTCTGTCCAGGTCCGGAAAGTTGCTCGGTCCCCCGCCTGGGGAAAATCCATCCGGCCGTCGAGAAACAGGATAAACCAGTCGTCAGCATTTAAAAACAGCTTCACCGACAGAGGACAAATTCATTTAAAATGATTAGAATTTGCTGCTCCTGCTGCAACCCAGGTGGGGTTCCAAAGCGATCAAAGGGTGGGCAAAATTTGGGGCGAGGTCCCCCCCTCCACTGGGACCACCGGCTGCCAGTGGCCAATCTTGCCGCCCCCCCGGGACCCCCCCCAGGTCATTCTCACAGCCAGGTCAGACTCCTTGAACCATGATGGGCCACCACCACCAGGAAATGATGGGCAGCCTTTTTAGAGGATTTTGTTAATCGCTTTATCTAAGCTGAATACATTAGTAGGTTTAGTAAATAGTTATGGAGTTTATCAGTAGCGGGGGGGGGAATAACTCAACAAAGATCTTTGTGAAGCTTTTAAGTTGAACAATATGGTGCTGGAGGAGAGTGTAAATGGGTAGCGCCAGACCACCCAGGAAGTCTAACAAATGAGGTTTTGATCAAAGCAAGGCTGAACTTTCCCTAGAGGCAAATCATGACTAACCTGAGGACTATCAGACTTCAGACACATCACGAGAAGACAAGACACACTGGAAAAGGAAGGGAAAAAAGGGGGAAGAGTAGACATGAGAGGGATTGACCCAATGAAGGAAGCCACAGCCTTGATTCTGCAGGAGCTGAGCAAGACGGTTAACCATCGGACCTCGTGGAGGTTACGAAATCACAGGGTGGCCAGAGGCCAGAGGCCATCTGACTGCATAGGACCACCATCCCACCCTTTCCGATCTACCCTTCCTGTGTCCAATCTCAAGGAATTTTTCTGGCCCAGGTTTTCCTGAGCAGAAGGAAACGGTGGCGTTCTTCACCCAGCCCAGCCCAGCCCTGCCCTTAAACAAAGCAAGGTGAGGTTTCCGAGGCTGCTGTCCTACCCAGTTATGGATTTCCTGCACTTCCCCGGGGGTTAGACTAGATGACCCCCAGGGGTTCCGTCCACCTCTACAATTCTAGGGCTTTGTTCACCCAGAGGAAAAGCCAGCCTGCATCGCACTCCCTGTCGGGTGGAAGCTTCTTCCACCACTCATGCGTTGAAAGAAGCAGAGACGCTTTCCCTTTTCCATTTTTCCTCCACAGACTTTGGACTTACACTAGATCCCTAGGCTTGAAACGGATCCAAGTGGATCAAGCCAAAAATCCTTCTACTGTCCTGATTCAACTCACTGTTGACAAGCGTGACACGCAGATGCGCCTGGGGTGGTTTCTCCAGCAGCATGCCTGTGGCTTGGGCACTCCACCCAGCAGTAATGAAGTTAAAAAAAAATCTGCACATCTCGGAAAGGCCAACTTAATGATCCCCTTTTCTGAAAATGAGCTTTTCACTTTGTTTTCCTTTTAAAACGCAGAACCCTCCTCTCTTCCTTTTTTATTAAAACCGGCTCAAAGCACTGCACAAGGATGAGAGGTGGCCTCTGACCAAACTATCGCCAGGCAAGGAAGCCGTCGGGTGGAAGCGGGTCTTCAAAGTGAAGCAGGGCGCAGAGGGAGAAGTGGGGAGCCGCAAGACAAGACGGGCAGCCAACAGGTTCTTGCAGAAGTACGGAGAAGACTTTGAGGGTTTTGCTTCTATCGTCCGGCGCAGCACCGTAAGATCTGCTTCGATTTGGTTCCCCGCGCAGAGCAAGGGGTTGGACTGGATGGCCTTAGAGGCCCCTTCCAATTCCGTTCTTGTAGGATTCTAAGGAGACTCTTGAGCGTGGTGGCCTCAGGCCAAGCAGCGAGATGACAAGGCTGCGTCTCGATTGGGAGAGATTGCAGGGGACCTGTATCAGAGACATCCTGATTTTTCTCTACTAGTGAAAAAGTGCAGGCATAGCAGCTGCTGAAGGGATCCTGAGCAGACAAGTTAGTTCACCAACACAGGATGGCCGTGCAGCAGTCAATGAGAGTAGCGAGATTCTTGAAAGGAGCGATGGCCTTTAAGCTAGACTGACAACCAGCAGAAACCCTAAGCTTGTAGGGCTGCAGACGGGGCAACAGAGAGCCTAGGCTGCAAGCCAGTGGGGTTAATTCCTTGGCACTGCAGAGTCACACAGAGAAAGGCTACGGCTGGAGAAGCTACTAAAAGACTTTGGAACGGAGGACGAGATGCCGATTCGGATGATGGAAGACAACCAGAAGTTGCCTTAGGCCGTCACAGAACGACGAGATCAATGCACGAACCGAACTCGCGGGCCTGAGGTACCGCCGGGTGCATGACCTGGCTCCAAAAGGGACGATCCGGACGCTCTACTGTCCCATTACAAGAGAAGGCAGCCGATGTTCTGAGACAGCCTCCTCCAAGAGATTGCTTGGAGAACCTGCCAAGCAAGACGGGACTTGAGAGCTCTTGCATACGAGTTTGAGAAAAGGGTTTTGGGATAATAGCAATCTCGCATGCACTAACACTGGTTATTATCAGCAGGAGGAGGATTTATAGCTCAGCGTGCTTGTCGTCCTTTGCCACAAACTTGACTGGTACGAGTTGTTTTGAAGGCATTTGAGGCATGCCCCCACCTTCTTCCTGTTTATTTGCTTGTTTCTATCACCCAATCAGAAGGAAGAACCAAATTCTCCAAGAATTTGCTTCTGATAGCATCGGTTTGCGGAGATGTTATCACCCATCCCCTCTTTCGTTGGGTTGAAAGCATGGTTTTAAGGCTTTCCTTCCTCTGCGGTTAAAGCTGTCTTTCAACGTCAAAATCCCACAAAACCTTATACCCACAAGTATGGTTTCCTGGCATCCCTCCACCCTCCAGCTTGTTCCTCAGAAAACTGAACATCTCTCGAACGTGCTGAACTTGACATTCTGGAGAATTTGGGAGCCAGAGGGGGGCCACGGCAGGCTGCCAGCCCAGTGCAAACCGACGTAGGTCCCAGGCAGGCAACTTCTGTGACTCAGCCCTTACTCGGTGTCTTCTGTGGTTCAGAAGAAATTGTGAAAGGACGAGGATCAGGCCATGGCATTCCTGGGAAGACATCCTCCTCAGCTGGGTGGGAGGGCTGTAGACAGAGTGAGGCCCTTGCTTTAGCCGCTGCAGGGCATGTTCTCGGCGGAGAGACAGAGGATAGCACTTGGAGTCATTTCTCACCTTCTGGCCTTCTAAGGACCTTCTCCACTATGGATGGATGAAAAGCTCTCTAGTTGCCTCTGGACTACAAACCCCAGCATTCTGCGCCACTGGTGCAGCTGACAAGGGCTGGGGGGGACCTGCAGCCCCCACTACCTTTGGATGGCCCCACATGGCCCACCTGTTTCAGTGTTTGGTAACACCTCTTCTCCCTGCCTCCAAATCTCCTTCGGACAACAATCCGTAGCGTCTCGTTGCTGGTCCTGGCGTTTCCGGCCAGTCCAAATGAGAGCGGGGGGCTTTCCCCCAAGTTCTGCCCAGTTTTTGGCAGAGATGCCCGTCTCAGGTAAACCAGCCAGGAAGCCTTTCACTGGACCCCCTGCCTGGGAGCCCCCCACACCCCAGTTCCCCAGTCAGACTCTGCCTTCGGCCACCAAGGAGACCCTGCCTGCAGCGCCTTCTGGCCTGGCTGCCTTCCTGTGGGTCTCCCACCCCTTTCCTCCTCAGAAAAGATGGACCCAATCCATCTGCTCACAGGCAGCAACAAGGCACCAGGTGGGATCCTTCCCAGAAGCCTTTCCTGCAGCCTCAACCGGGGGCTTCTTGAAAGCGAACGCAAGCCAGATCCCGTACATGCATCTGCAACAAGTGAGATGGGCTCCCCTTCCAGAGCCTGGTGCCAAGAACCTTTTCCTGCCAGAACAGACACATTGCCCTCGGCCCCAAGGTTCTGGCTGGAGACCATCATCTCCTCCTCCTCTTTCTCCTCCTCCTCCTCCTCTTCTCTCTTTCTCTCTCTTGGCTTTAAAATTGCTGCAGCTCTCGGTGGATCAGGAGAGGTTGCAGAAATCACTTCCTCTCTGGAGGCCCTTTCCATTCACAATTTTCTAGACTTAGCAGAAATTGGGCTGTGATGTCACTGAGCAGGCATCCGGGTCACTTCCAAGAAATCCCCGCCCTTCTTGATCAAGGCGCCCTCCGATATAAAGAGGGAGAGATGGGCCGATGCTCAGTGTGGAGCAAAGGAGAGCTTCTGAAACATCACCCCCGGCTTGCTTCTGCTACCTCGCCAGAGATCCCCACCGCTGCCACCGCCTTCTCACCTTCAAGAGCCACCATGCATCCCTCCGTGGCTGTCGTGGCCGTCCTGCTGATCACCTCTCCTTTCCTCCTCTTCCAGGCTGAAGCCCATGCCGGTAAGCCTCTTTCGCGTCCTCCTCAGACCTCCACGGCAAAGCCGGGCCCTGCTCCTCCAGCCGGTGGCTTCCGTCTTACAAAGACCAGAAGCCCTTCCTTCTACTCTAGACGGCACCTCCTCCAGGCATGCTTTTCACCACCTGAACACGTAGGACTGTTTTCAGGGGGGCCATCAATAGCTGGGGTGGGGGCTTTGCCTTACCAGGGGACCACGTAGCCAGTGTGGCTGCACTTGCTACTGAACTGGGAGACAAGAAAGCAAGCCATTATCTGGATGCAAAATAGAGATTACCCTTAGCTTGTGTTTAGACGAGGTGCTCCTCCAAATGAGGAAAGGCATCGTTTTATCACAAGATTTTCCTCACCTCTGTACCTTGCATTCCTCCGAGCATTGTTTTCCAAGTGGTCACTGGAAGGTAGATGCAGGCTTTATCTGCCAGGCTGACTCCCGAAGCAATCCTACTGATGAGGAGATGGGTCAGGGCAGAAAGGTTACCCTGTGAGAAGGCTCATTCTCCTGAATGACCAGTCTGACCCAGATCATATTGTTCAGGAACCCCCAGAGCTGGTCTGCCTCCGATATTTTCACTCCAAAAGTGAAATATAAAACTGTACACACGTAGAGAGCTCTGGAGTTAACATTTTTGAGGGACCACTTAGAGCACTGGTTCTTAACCTTGGGTTACTCAGGAGTTTTGGACTGCAACTCCCAGAAGCCTTCACCACCAGCTGTCCTGACTGGGGTTTCTGGGAGTTGCAGTTCAAAAGCATCCGAGTAACAAAGGTTAAGAACCACTGACTTAGAGGAAGGGGTGTAGAAAGACACAAATCTGTGTGTCTGTGGCAGGGGATGAAGAAAGCTTGACTCTATCCCCCATGGTACCCATCCAGTTACATCCCGGTAGGATTGCTTATATTCTGATCTCAGCTCAGGAAAAGTTACCTTTTTAGACCCTAACCCCCAGAATTCCCGAAGCCAGCTGCCCCTTCTGTCTGGGAGTCTGAGATCTACGGCACCCCACAGCCCTCCTTCCTTGCCCTGACCCGAGTCTCGCCGTCTGGGACTTCCAGGGCCACGATCCACTCACATCCGCTCCTTTTTGCTGCCTCCTTTGCAGACCCCAGCCTCTGCTGCTTCACGTACGCAAAGAGACAAGTTCCTCGGAAACTCCTGGTCTCCTTCGAATATGCAAACTCCATGTGCCCAAAGCCGGCTATCATGTAAGTATTCAGCCATGAGTTTGAGGGAGCCCTTCACAGGGCTCACGCCTCTCCGTCAGGCAAAAGGAGGACGTGTCCTCCTTTTTAGCCTAATGTCCTCCGTCAAGCAGGCAAAGATAAAATGTCAGGCTTTTATATATTTTATGTTAGAATTTTGGATGGGAGGGGGAGAGGTGGAAGGACCCCCTTCCGCCTGGCTTTCCCCCGCCCCCCACCTGCCTGCCCACTCCCGGTATTTTGAAAAAAAGCCTCCATTGAATTTATTTTTATTTTTTAACATGACTGTTTCTTGGTCGGTTCACTAAAAGACATTTATTGGCAGCTATTGTAATAAAATTGTATTGATTGTGGGTTTAATCTGGAATGATTCAAATGAAACATTCAATATGTCCTTCTTTGTCCTCCTTTTTGTCTTTCTATGTCCTCCTTTTAGTACCCGTGTATCTGGCAACCCTATTCACAGGGCTCACGTCTCTCCTTCCTTTGTTACACCCCCTGGAAGCAAAGAAGAGGCACTCCTGACTAATTCCCCCCACTAAAAAAATCCCTTGTCTTTTCTGCAGATTTATTACAAAAGAAAACAGGCGGATCTGCGCCGATCCCCAGGCAGACTGGGCCAAGAGCTACATCGAATTTCTCCAGAATAAAAGAAACTGACAGCCTCGGCTCTACCTCCCCCCCTTCCCCCCCTAGAAGCCATGGAAAGGCCACCCACCCTTCGGATGGGGGGGGTCTGGCGAGGACGCTAATACTTGACCCCTCTTGTAACAGTTGCACAGTAATAACTTAAAATGTTTATTTCAAGTGTGTTTTGTTTGAAAGAATGCACCTTATTTATGTTTGTTATGTTTATTTTATAAACTTTTATTATTTTCCTCTTTGAAAAGGCGGCTGGCTGTTGACTGTGTTGCCAAGAGGACTCGCCGTGCGAATAAAGCTCAGGGCCAAAGGACTCGTGTACAGTGGTGCCTCGCTAGACGCTGATAATCCGTTCCACTGAAATTGCTCTTTAGTGAAATCATTGTCGAGTGAAAAGCAAATCATCGTCTAGCAAAAATCAGTTTGCGAAGCAGGGACCAAACATTGTCCAGTGAAATTCCCCCATAGGAATCACTGTTTTGCGAATCACTATAGCGATTGCAAAAAGTCAATGTCTAGCGAAAAAATTATCATGCGGGGTAACTGTCTAGCGAGGCACCACTGTGTATCTTGTTTTAGGGACGATTTTTAAATTTGCACTGCTTAACGTTATTTGTGGTACCGTGATGTTTATTGCCAGCCGCCTCCTTGAGGAGTGTTTGTCACTAAGTATGCAAGTATCTGAAATAAATGAATAAATCAATAAATATCTGTGTCTCTCTGCGCTTTTGGGAGATAGCTGGGTGGAGGAACGGGGGAGACCCCCCCAAGTAAGAAAGAAACATCAAGGTATACAATATCGAAAGGCAAGGAAGGTGTTTATTTAATAGGACCACATTGGTTAGATTTTTTTTCTTTAAACAGCTCAATATAAGATAAAATGTTTACCATTCCAAAAAGGTCTGGTTCAACTCCCCCTCCCTCCTCCCCCCACCGTAAACATCTGTCATAGCTGTACACCAACTTAAACTGGTGACCACAACACGACACCCACCTCCTCCTCCCAGCGCTCGGAGGAGGACCCCAAGACTCAAGAGACCACATACATACACGCACACACACAAACACACACACACAATCAACAACTCAGGAGAAAGCAGGACGGCTCAAACCTCATGGGCCCTGCGGCTTGGCTTTCCGGCCAAGGGATAATTTCCTGAGCCTTGTGTAGGTTGGGTCTTAGGAAACCCAGCTGCAGCAGGAAAGAAATTGCAAGCTGGTGTCTTTGCTTTCTTGACTGCCTGATTTTTTTTAAATTATTTTTTTGCTTTTGCCCAGCCGGCACATGGAAATTCAGGAGAGGCATCCCTTCCCTTCCACGTTAGGGGGAGAACAAGGTCTTTATACGAGAACGTCCCACGGCCCCCTCTCTCCAGGGTTGGGATCCTGCCTTATCAAACCCCCAAAGACAAGCCGACACACAACTGCCCGCCTGCTTCAGCTTTCTCTCTGATGGGGGAGGGGCCCTCCAAAAATCAGACCCCAACCAGGGCAAATGGTAGAGATGGAGGAAACACTCCCCCGCCTTCTGCCCCCCAATGACTGCTGATCACAGGGAAATAACACACACACACCGCCCTAACCTTACATCTGTACCCATCGGGTCCTTGTATGAGAATTTCCAACCGAGACATGAATTTACGCTTAAAAAAAAAAAAGTAGGTTAAAACAAAAGCCAGCTTTTGACAGTCACAGGTGCTTTGAAGTTGAAGCTTCCTTGTGATGATTAAGGTCTGGCCGTCAGTAATGGCAGGCGCTTTTGCCAAACGGAGAAGAGCCTCCCATCCCGGGAAGACTCAGCCACATGGGAAGGGGAGTTGCCTGCCAGGAAACTCACCCAATGGATATGCGGTGATATTCGGCTACGGAGCTGCCTCATGTGGAGGTAGATGCACTCCACGCATGCCCCGGAACCTCTTGGAACGAAGGAAGGAAGGCTCGTCGTTGTGGAGGTACATCACATCTCGAAAGATTCTGACCTGGAAAGCCGCCTCTTGAAAGCAGAAGATCTCAGGCTGAACGTCCCTCTTCACTCCCTCTCCAGCTGCTATGGGCCTCTGCGCTTCCCCTTCGAGGTTCCTGCTTTGCTGAGGAATCACAAAACTCACCCACCTCCAAACACTTCCAGTTCCTATCACACACACAAACATCATGTCTTCGAAGGTTTCTCCCAAGTCTAACCTGGATCTTCTGTTGTTTCCTTGCTAAATCCACGGCCAGAGGTGCAGGGGTCAAGGTTCAAGGCCCCGCACGCATCCAAAGTGTACTCAAAAGCCATGGCCCATGGGGGAATCCTGAATCCACAGCAAGAAACCCGTTCTAGCCACTTCTGGCACCTCCACCGGGTGCAAGGATCCTGTCCGGCTAATGGCCCTGAGATGCTTATTGAAAGGGGCCAAGCGGCCCCACAAATACTCAGGGTTGCACCAGGGTTCAAATGAACCCCATACCCCCCACGGCAGGGGAAATCCACTCCGTAGCTGCGTGGGTTGTGACTCGGCTTCCGGAGGCAAACGGCCGCCTGGAGAGGGATGGGGGGGGCAAATAATGCCTGAATCAAAGCATCTAAGTAGTCCCATGGAAGGTGTCTGGCTTGCACTCCCCGGCAAGGGCTGTCTGAACTGAACCACTCTGTTAGAGGGGAAGGGTAACTAGCAGAGCACGAGGGACAGCAGACTGGAGGGGGTGGAGGGGGACACACAGAGAGCCCAGGTAGTTTGTGGGTCTGGGACACGGTGACCACCCCAGGGGCAGGTGACCCTGGAGGGCAGGTATTCCCCCCACCCCTCTCCTTGAAGCCTGCCAGAGACTCTGCAGCTATATAGCCCGGTGTGGGCGGTGCCACGCCTGCATGGAGTAATCTGGCTCCTCCAGCCACCTGGGAAAAGCCCACGGCCGGCTCACCCCCATTACTTAATGGCCAAGGGGTTTTTGCTTCTTCTGGACTGCCGCTATGGGGTGGGAGACTGAATGTCAGGCAGGAGGCCAAGGTGGGGGACAGCGCCGGGTCACAAGGGCCGCTGGTGGGGGGCGCTGAGCACCTGCCCAGCCAGAATGGAGGCTAACCTCCCTAAGACTCTCGTTCTGCAGAGATGGGAAAAGCAGCATGAAAGGTATGAAAAAGCAGGACAGGCCACAGCAGGCCGCCCGGAGGGGTGCTGAGGACGGTCATCAGCAAACCCCTCCCTCCCAGGTGGCTCTCCCACCCTCCAAAGCACAGACACCACTCCTCCCCCTTTGGTAAGCCACGAGCTTTCCTTGGAGATGAGGGTGTAACTGGGGGGAGGGGGGGAGAAACGGGATGTTCAACTGCAGCAAAATTCTGAATGGGATTTTGAGGGGGTCCCCTCCCCCCAAGTTTGACACTCACTTTCTTCCTCAGGCAAAGAGAGAGAGAGAGAGAGACCAGGAGGGTCCCCTGGTTTGCCTGCTTTCAAGCAAAGCTGTACCTAAGGGATGGGGAGTGGAAGGCAGACAATCAGGGCACGCACACACACACACACTCATGGACTCGTCTTGTCTACTTACAACCCAGATTCAAGGCTAGACGGGGGGGGGGGCAAGCACAGGAAGCACCCAGGCAAGGGGTGACTTCGACATGTACGACACACAATCTTTAGCGGCAGAGGGACAGAAACCTCCGGGGGGGGTAGCCAGGAAAGAGGTGCACATGGATTTCCGGTGATATTTGGTTTTATCCAACAGATCCCCGCCCGTGGGTCTGCCTTGCGTTCCACAAAACAAGAGCAAAAACCACATCTGTGCAGCAGCAGAAGGAAGCAGGGCTGTCTTTTCGGAAACACAGAGAGAGAAACAGACAGACAGAGAGAGAGAGCTCATCCTTTTTCTCCCCCAACTTCCCCTTGTCATTCTTTGGCCTCTCCTGCCCTGTCTGGTACCAATCCGAAACCTACTCAGAGGAGGATGCAAACGGCCACCTGAGGCCCTCTGCACTTTAAACCTCCTCCTTCCCAGCAGGCTCTCCCCCGCTCCCACCCCCTCTTTGGGACCGAGGCCCAGCTGCCCCAAAGCACGGCCCTTTTTTCTCGGGGAGTGGCTGGCGCGGCACCCTTTCAGTGGGACGAGTCAGAAGCTCCCCACCCCCTTTTTGCACATTTTCTAACAAAGTGAACATTGAAAGACAAGCTCGCTCGCTCGCTTGCTTGCCGGCCCCGTGCGTCACGACCGTGGTGGGTGCAAACGACTCACTCGGCTCGCGGAGCCGCAGAAGTGATTACAAACGAGAGGAACCGGCAGGCGTGTCCCCCCCGGGACAGACGCCACCAGAGCCCAGGCCCGTCCTGTCCAATCGGACGGGCCCAGAAGCTGCCCAAGAGCATCTCAATGGGTAGATGGCCCCACACGGCAAAGCGCGAGAGCCGCCACACAGCTGCCTCCGCAGCCCCGCCATCCTCACGCTCGTTATGGGACTGGTTCAAACTTAGGGATGCCCCCTCGGACCCACGCCAGCGGAGGCGGGTGCCGGTCATGGTCCCTCTCCGGCTCAGGCTGACTCTGGGCACGCTCCGGCTTGGGGGTCAAGGAGGGCGGGTCCGGCTGCTGGACGGACATCGTCCTCCGGAGATGGTTCCGCTTGCGCAGGAAATCCGGCTGGGAGTGGAGGCCAAAACTGCCCTTCCGCAGGATCATGCGCGAATTGTTCTTCTTGGGTCGGGAGTGAAGGCTGGACTGCAAGGAGGCCAGGTGGGCAGCGTAGCCTTCGCTGAGGAACTGTCCGAAGGAAGGAAGGGTGGAAGGAGGGAGGGAAGGAAGTTAGAAATAGAAACACAGAGAAAAGAGAGCTTCAGATCAGGACAATCTACCTTAGATCAGGTCCTGATCCTGCAACATTTGGTAGAAAAAATATTCTAGCAAATCTAAAGGGTCTTTATTTGCAGCATTTATAGATCTTAAATCTGCCTTTGACTCCATTTTGAGGGACAAAGGATGGCATAAACTAGAGTTCTCCACAGCAGATTGACGCTTACTATTGCTTATTTACAAACTGCACGAAAACACTGTGAAAATGAGGTGCAATCTGGAAGGTCATCTGTCTGATAAAAGTCCCTACATAGAATGGAGTTAAACCAAGTTGCATACTGGTCCCACTGTCATTCAGTTTTGATATTAATTCAAGTCAGCCCACTTTCCACATATCCCGAAGCTAGCGGGCAGACACAACTCTCCGTGCCGTTATATGCTGATGATGGAGCGCTACTATCTCAGACACCTATTGGCTTAAAGAGGGCATCGAGCACCTTAGTATAGTACAGCCAAGAGGGAAGCCTTCAAATAAATTTTTAAAAACAACAACTAAAGTCATGGCGTTTGCAAAAAAGATCAAAGTTCTACAAACGGTCAATAAATGGTCATAAGATTGAGCAGACAAGGCCCTTTGAGTATTTTGGTGTTGTTTTTCAGTCCGATGGCTCCCGTAAGGCACATGCAAATATACTGCACAAGTGGCACAGAGATCCACCTCTACAATTTTGAAATGTTTTTGATATGGGGTGAGGGGACATTATATTCCCCCCTGCTTTAAGACTGTTTCAGGCCAGATCTTTTAGTCAACTCCTTTATGGTGCACAACTGAGTCCTACTTTGATCAACATTTCTGAGAGCTATTCTTCAGGTACCCCACTGGGTTCCTAATGCAGCTTTGTGGCGGGAGGTGAGATACCTGAAAGTTGAAACTAGGGCTTGGCTAGTTATTTTCAGTTTTTGTCTGAAATGAACCTTCTTCCCAAAACGCTTGCCCTCTTTAATATTACTAGATAATGATCCGTCGATTCAAAAGAAAGCTCTATCTATCAAACTCAAAAGACTAACTGATTCCACATTGTTAACTTTCAAGCCAACTGATTATTTCTATTTCTACTTCTCTAGAGTCTCAGCTGTCCAGGGCAAGATAATAAGAGGACAGAATAAGATGAGGACTAAAGTTGGGTCTTGTTGGCTTAACCGGGTTCGGCTGCAAACTCTTCTCCTTTTGCTCTTTCTTTAAATGCGACTCAACGTTTTGCCTTTACATTTCCATGTTAAGGAGTGCACTGCTCTTCTCTATGGTTCTTGGGAATGCCCAAAGGATCCCAGGAACAGTACAGTATGACCAGGTACAGATTTTGTAAACAAGCCAGCTAAAGGTAGACAGAGAGAGCCTAGCCTGACCAGAGCTTCAGAGTTCATCTGACCCAGAGTTACCTTTCCTTCCTTCCTTCCTTCCTTGCTTCCTTCCTTCCTTCTGTCCATCATAATCTCCTTCCTTCCTTCCTTCCTTGCTTCCTTCCTTCCTTCTGTCCATCATAATCTCCTTCCTTCCTTCCTTCCTTGCTTCCTTCCTTCCTTCTGTCCATCATAATCTCCTTCCTTCCTTCCTTCCTTGCTTCCTTCCTTCCTTCTGTCCATCATAATCTCCTTCCTTCCTTCCTTCCTTGCTTCCTTCCTTCCTTCTGTCCATCATAATCTCCTTCCTTCCTTCCTTCCTTGCTTCCTTCCTTCCTTCTGTCCATCATAATCTCCTTCCTTCCTTCCTTCCTTGCTTCCTTCCTTCCTTCTGTCCATCATAATCTCCTTCCTTCCTTCCTTCCTTGCTTCCTTCCTTCCTTCTGTCCATCATAATCTCCTTCCTTCCTTCCTTCCTTGCTTCCTTCCTTCCTTCTGTCCATCATAATCTCCTTCCTTCCTTCCTTCCTTCTTTCTCTCGCCCTTGCCTCCCTGGTCCCCTTCAGCCCATCAGAGAGAAGGCTCGCTCCTTCCTTCCTTCATTCCTCCCTTCCTTCCTTCCTTCCTTCTCTTCCTTCTCTTCCTGCCTTCCTCATCTTCCTTCCTCCCTCCCTCCCTCCTGAGGCAGGCAGTCTGCTCCCTCCCGCCCTTGCCTCCTTGGTCCCCTTCAGCCCAGCAGAGAGAAGGCTTTTACCTGGCACTGGCCCTGGTACTTCTTAGTCGGCCGGCCCACAATGTAGATCTGGGAGGGCGTGAGGCCCAGGACGTTGTAGACGGAGATGTCCTTCATGGAGCCGTAGGCGGCGCAGATCTTGATGTGGCTCTTAGGAGGGGGAAGAAAGGAGGAAGGTGATCCCACAACATCAAGTCAGCGGAAGGGACCTGCTGCCCCCTTGCCCTTCTCCTGGGTCCTCCAGGGCTTGTGGAGGAGGAGGGGGTTGTAGATCTGGGAGGGCGTGAGGCCCAGGACGTTGTAGACGGAGATGTCCTTCATGGAGCCGTAGGCGGCGCAGATCTTGATGTGGCTCTTAGGAGGGGGAAGAAAGGAGGAAGGTGATCCCACAACATCAAGTCAGCGGAAGGGACCTGCTGCCCCCTTGCCCTTCTTCTGGGTCCTCCAGGGCTTGAGCCTAAGCCTTGTGGAGGAGGAGGGGGCCTCCTGGGGCCTCCTCTAGGGAGAGGAGGCAAGGCCAGTATCAAAAGAAGAGGACCAGACCAGATTGGCCCCCTACACAAAGCTCTGCCCTTGAGTGGGGAGACAGCTCTCCAAATCAAAGTGTGTTGTTGCTTATATCCCGCCCCACAGTGCTTAAAGCACTCTCTGGATGGCTTACAAGTGAATTATGCAGGCTACACATTATGCCCCCCCCCAGCGAGCTGGGTTCTTAATTTACCAACCTTGGAAGGATGGAAGGCTGAGTGAGCCTGGAGCTGGCTACCTGGGATTGAACCCTAACCCTGGGTCCTGAGCAGAGTTTTGGCTGCAGGACTGCAGTTTAGCCCCTGCGCCACGAGGCTCCTTTGGGCAAACTGAGCCACCCATCCACCCACCCACCCAGGGCCATTCAATGCCTGGACAAGGGAGCCAAGAGGGGGCAGGAGCTGCCACCACCGCCGCCGCCGCCTGACCTCCGCCCTACCTCTTGCACGAGATTTCGGAGGAAAATGGTTTTCTGCCGGAGGGGGTCATGGACCAGCCCGTCGGAGAAGAAGATCATCCCTTGAGGGAAGTTGTGCTGGGAGAGCCAGGAGACCACTCGCTGCTTCTGCATATCGGGGCGCCCCGTGATGTAGAGGATGAGGTACCCCAGATCCTGCCAGTGTCTGCACAGGAGGGAGGGATGGAGAGAGGGAGGGAAGAAGGGGTGAGGACCCTTGCATACTTCCACTGGGGGGCTTAGAGTGATGCAGGGGCTGTAAAGAGTACCCCCCCCAAAAAAAATAAATATTGGGGCAGTAGAAGCAGAAGGCTTAGGGTTGGGCTATGGATGTTCTCCTCCCTTCATGACATCAGCAAAGCCTTTGCAAAAACTCCCATTAGGTCATGACTATTTGCCGAAAGGTGGCACCGGGTCTATATCCCAGGGCAAGTGAAGAATGAGCCCCCCAACCCTGCTTTCTGGGCCCTCCAGCAGCAGAGAGAGGGCTGCCTCTCCCCCAAGAGGGAGGGAGGGAGGGAGATGGGGAGGGCGGTGGCCTGGAAACGTCTCCCTGCGGAGAGCTCTGAAGGCTAAGAGGCGAGCCTCCTGCTTCCCTGCCCACCGGCCCCTTCGCTTCGTGAGGAAGGAGGAAGAAGCCCCTCTGACCTGACCACGTCCACCGCTCCCGCTCGGACTTTGGGGTCACTGCCCATGATGGAGACGCTCGCTGCAAAGGAGCCGTCGATGCTGAAGACCACACACTCCATCCCACGGGGGAGGACGGTCAGGTAGCTGACGGCACTGCTCTGGTCTCCCCTGGGGGCCGAGAAGCAGCTTGGGGTCAGGGTAGAAGCCTGGCCCCACTGCAAAGCCTCAGGGGCTGATGGGATGTCGGATCCCCCCTTCCCCCCATGTCATTCACCAACATTCCCTTCCAGCCCCCAGCCCCCCAAAGACGGCTTCTAAATGGGCCTGAAGAGAACCAGGTTGTTCCAGGCAGCTTTTAATGGCAAGCAGATCCAACTTGATGATGCAGGGATTGTTCCCAGTTCAAATATTTCATGGTATTTTAATTAACCCCCTTTTACTCTGTATTTACATCTGATCCCGAGGTCGTCCGCCCAACCCACCAGATCCTCCCAGACCAGGCTCCTTTGGGAGGACCAAAAGTCTTCCACTAGAGGTGTGGGTGATCACAGAACACACAGAGAGAGCAAAGGAGTCGAGAGCCGTTGTCTGAGCCAGCGGAGCCTCCTGGCAACGCCCTGAGGGCTCATTTTATTGACTTAGCATGACTACACAGTATATTACAAACGAAACAGATAGGATAGTGGTTACCAAATCATTCACTAGGATGGGCTAAAATAACCTTTTGAGCTTATGCTCTACCTCTAAGAGAAACGGCAGAAGAAGGGGATACCCCACCATGTCCCAACTGGTTTCAACCCCTGTTAAATCACCCAGAATAGTGCTTTAGCACTCAAATAAATAAATATTTTAAAAATGAATGAACGAATGAATAAATGAATGAACAAACAAATTTTTAAAAAATGAATAAACGAACAAACAAATTTTCAAGAATGAAAATAACCTTTTGAGCTTATGCTCTACCTCTAAGAGAAACGGCAGAAGAAGGGGATACCCCACCATGTCCCAACTGGTTTCAACCCCTGTTAAATCACCCAGAATAGTGCTTTAGCACTCAAATAAATATTTTAAAAATGAATGAACAAATGAATAAACGAATGAACAAACAAATTTTTTAAAAATGAATAAACGAACAACAACATTTCTTTCTGGAAGGGACTCGGTATCTAATGAATGAACGAATGAATAAATGAATGAACAAACAAATTTTTAAAAAATGAATAAACGAACAAACAAATTTTCAAGAATGAATGAATGAATAACTAAATAAATATTTTAAAAAATGAATGAATGAATGGATGAATAAAATGAATGAATGAATGAATAAACAGATTTTAAAAATGAATGAACAAATGAACGATTGAACAAATAAATAAATATATATTTTAAATGAATGAACGAACAAATGAATTAATAAACATTCTTTTAAAGTGTTATCACCTCAGCTTGCTTAGAGGGGGTTTTCTTCCAAAAGATGGAACATTTCTTTCTGGAAGGGACTCGGTGTCCGTCGTTCCCCAAATGACACTCTTTCAAAGGTGGGTCTCCATCCCAATCTCCCCCCCCCAATCCTCTCAGCCCTTCCAGGGGCTTTCTCCCCGACACCCCGGGCACCCAGCCTTACCTGACCACCATCTTAATAGGGTAGACGCCGACCAGCAGCCTCTTCTCCTTAGGGATGTTGTAGGAGATCCTGCCACTACTGTTGGTGATTTCCGTGTCAAAGTAGACCCACCGCCCCGAGGAAGGCTCCGTCAAGACAAAGATGTCGACCTGGAAAAGGGACCATGTTGGAAGCAAATGTCTCCTAGCCTTCTCTCCCCGGCTGAGTTCAGAAGCTGAAAAGAGCCGCCGTCGCTGGTGCCCAAAGCCCCTGCGATCCGCCAAGGAGGGCCTCCCTTTGCCGACTCTCTGCCATCCCGGACCATCGCAGGGACAGAACGGCTGCCGACCAACAGGGCCTGGAGGCAGAAGACGTTAAGGATGGCAGAAGCATCCGGGGCTCGTAAGCTGCACTGAGAGCCACACAAGGGCAGGAAGGAAGATATCTGGTCCAACAGCGGAAAGATGAGGGGGCGGGACGGCCCTTGCCGAGAGCGAAGAGCCGGGCAGCTCCGATAGGTACCAAGGGGCCTGCATCTCATGCCAGGCTTCGAGGGCGAAAAAACGTGCCAATATCAGATCTTGGAAGGGGGTTCCCAGAGCCAATAGCACCTTACCTTCTCCCCTGTTAAGGCCACCATGTCCAGCGGGCCGTACATGAAGCGGCCAACCAGGACCTGGGGCCCACCTTCAGCCGCAATGACGTCGTTCGACCGGTGGTTCGAAGTGACATTCTGGAAGGGGAGCGGACAGAGAGCATTGCTTTCCATGTGACTCAGGATCGACTTCTGAACAAGTGGAGTTATGAAAGCCAACCTCCTGCTTTGCGGAGGCAAAGCCTCCTGAGTTGCCCTCCTTCTTTCCGCTCCAGGCCAAGCAGGAGGGGCCCGGGCACCCCCCACACCAGGGAAATGTGTGTGTGTGGGGGGTGTCCATGGGGGAGGGGAGCACTCCGTTTTTTTTTCCTGTAGGATTTTATTATTTTTCTCCAGGTGTTTGTATACTGTTTTCTATTCATTCTTCCTTTCTTTGTATGATTTGTTGTAAACTGCCCAGAGAGTACGTTGCACTATAGTAAGTCGAAATAATAAATGAATGAATGAATGAATGAATGAATGAATGAATGAATGAATGAATGAATGAATGAATGAATGAATGAATGAATGAATGAATGAATGCACACTTGAGGGAAAGTTTCCAGGCTACTGTACTTGGACCACTTGCCTTGCACCAACTCTGAACCTGCCCTCTTGATCTGCCTGCTGTCCACGCTCAAGCATAAAGGCTGCTCAATCTGTGATTTGGTTTCTTCTTCCCCAGTCCACGAAAAAGGAATTATTTTAAGTGCGAGGACTCTGGCTCCAGTGAGTTCAGAGGGGCTGGGCCAGAGGGTATACAGAAACTCAATCATTCCGGCCCTGCGGGTGTGGGGGTGTGTGGATCCTTCTGAGATGCCCTCCCCACCTCCAAATCTCAGGTGTCCTTGTCTCTCGTTTGAGACATGTGGCGTGCCCAGTTTTTAAACTTTCCTCTGAGAGGTTTGGAATGTTGCTTTCTGGTTTTAAACCAAAGACAGGAGCTGGCACTCACAGGGAATACGAGACAAAAGTCTTCTGTCTTCCCATTCTCCGGGGTCTTCCGAAAGACTCAGTACTGTTGTTGGTGCTGAGTGTAACCCTCTCCCTGTTTCTCCCCATTCAGTGGTGCCTTGCTTGACGATTACCTCTTTAAACGACAAAACTGCTATACGATGACTCATTTGCGATCGCAAAATGATGTTTTAATAGGCAAAATTTGCTTCCCGACGATCGGTTCACTGCTTCGGGAACCATTTCTTCGCTAGATGACGTTTTTAAGACAGCTGATTGGTAGCTTCAAAATGACCACCCGCTGTGTAAAATGGCTCCTCGCTGTGTTTTTGTACGGATTCCTCACTTTACAGGCACCGAAAATGGCCGCCCTATGGAGGATCTTCGCTGGACAGTGAGTTATCCAGCCCATTGGAACACATTGAACGGGTTTTCAATGTGTTTCAATGGGATTTTTCATTTCGCTTAATGAGGATTTCGTTTTACAGCGATTTCGCTAGAATGGATTATCCTCATTAAGCGAGGCACTACTGTATTGGAAAAAACAACAACAATCAACTGTCTGCCCAGGCTACATTCAACCCAGTGCGGTGGCCTCATCTCTGCCCTCCTCACCCTGAGTTTGACTTGAGTCCTCTTGCGCAGCCACTTCTCCCGCGGGTTCGAGGGGCCGAGCGCGCCGGGCTCCAACGCGCTGCTCTCCTTGACGCTGGTGGTTTCGAATCTCATCACCTGCAATCGAACAGGACAGGCTGCAGGCGGGCAGTGCCCATGGGAGGTGCCCCAGGCGGGGGCAACAAAGGAGGAGGCGTGACAGCTGAGGCCCAGCTCCGAGGCCACAGCCGCACTGGCAAGATCCGGGCGGACGGGAAGGAGCTGGGTGTTTCCAATCCACCCCTGAAGGCCTCCTCCGTAGGAGGGTTTCTGCCCCAGAAGGAAGGGAAGGGGGGGTCTATTTATTAAGTGTCTCACCAGGAGGGGGGCTCAGTGAGGTCTCCCCAACAGGCTGAAGGTGCTCTATTTGGTGCAGTGGGGATCCATGGGCAAGGGGGAGGGGGAAAGGAAGCCAGACCCCCCCACCCCACCCCAGCAGCCTCCCTACCTGTCTGAGGATAAAAGCCACCACGTCCGTCGATTCCCAATAGCTGGCGTGGAAGAGGTGAGGCAGAGCCACCGTCGGGAAAGCCATGAGGACGTCCGGGCAGTACAAGGCGTAGTCAATCCGCTTGGTCCCCCACCATTTGGCCGTAACTAAAGCAAGACAGACCGACAGACGACAGGGTGGGGCAACCTTGCCTCCCCAAAACTCAGCATCCCTCCCCAGAAAAAAAAAAGAAACCTTCTCTCTGGCTTGATTTCCAGCCCTGGAACTCCTCTCGATCCCCCAGCGTTGCACTCACTGTGGGTCAAGCTGGTGGGCCCCAGGCTCTCCGTGGACCCCGAACTCTCACTCTCGATGCTACCGAGGCTCTCACTTCGGGCCTTTGCTTCCAACGCGCCGGAGACCTCCGAGGAGGTCTCCACCGCTGAGGGGGCCTGGGCGGGTTCCTTGCTGGCGAAGGTGGCGCTGTGAGCATGGAGCGTGTCGGCTGTGTGACCAGAAAGAAAGAAAGAAAGTGGGCAAACGGAGATGGGTTTCCTGTGAAGAACGGCCGGAGCAATTCATGGCACTGAGTCTTCGGAAAGGGGGACAGAAGGAACCCAGGGGGTCAACCTGTTTCTGCCCTCTGAGACTCATTGATGGATTGACTCGTTGGTTGGCATTTCATTTTCTTGGAATTGAATTTTGTTTTCAGGGGTCATTGGATTTAAGTGTCATAAATAAATAAATAAGATATCACCGTGGGGAGGGGGGGCGATGATAACTTCTTCAATGGCTCAAGGGGGCGTTTCTTTCAAAAAGGTTAAGAGCTGGTTGGTTGGTTGGTTGGTTGGTCGGCTGGTTGGCTGGCTGGCTGGCTGGCTACCTAGTTTTAACCCACCTTTCTCCTTTAAAAAGACCCAAGGCGCTATACAACTATTCAAAGACAGCATTTAAGCTAACAACAGTGACTAAGAGCTCAGTCAGCCGAGTATGTGAAGCTGCCACAACTGGACCATGCCGTCAAGCAGCCCTCTGTGGCAGAGAGGCTCCAGTCTTTCTCTGCCCTTGCTTTAAGAGCAGAATTTCTGAGGCCCTCCACTCCCCCGTCCCAAAACACTGCGGCACACAAGAGCAGGGAGAAGAGACCCCACTGCGGACGGGCAGGCCCATGTGCCACCACAGGGCGTGGAGGGGGTGCCACAGAGAGAGAAGTCTTACCTAAGAGGTGGGACCTCCCATCTCCCAGAGGGTATCTCTGGTACCTCGGCACAGGAAACGGGGGCAGGAGGTGGAATTTACTTTCCAGCAGCGGCTCCAGTCGGGAAGCTGACGGGTCGGCGGAGTGGAAGAGGCTGTAAACTTGACTGCAGGCTGGATGGACCTGGGAGACTGAAGGAGGATAGTCAGTAGTTTTAACCGTGAGGAATTCTCAGAAAAGAGGCGGTTAGAACGCAGGGTTAGGCCTGAGGAAGATGGAGATAAACGCTTGCCCATTTAGAGTTTCTGAGGTCCCCATTTCCCAAAAATGAAATACAGTAGCACAAACTATCAGCAGGACTGGTATCGATGGTTTCAATTATCCATGTTCTGAAAATATTAAAATTATTGTAAAGAACAAAACTAGAAATATGTATTTTCAACGTGTATTGACCAGAACTGGCTACTAGAGGGAGCCACAGAAGATGCTACTTATTCCTGTTGTTGAAGACTACATAGTATGGTCTCTGGCTCCCTCTAGTGGCCAGTTGTGGTCAATACATGGTATTTCCTGATATTTTCTTTTACCATACTATGTACAGTGGTGCCGCGCATAGCGACGATAATCCGTTCAGGAAAAATCGTCGCTATGTGGATTCGTCGCTATACGGAACAAAAAAGCCCATAGGAATACATTAAAATACGCTTAATGTGTTCCTATGGGCTAAAAACTCACTGTTATGCGAAAATCCTCCATACGGCTGCCATTTTCGCTGCCCGGTAAGTCTTTTACCATACTATGTACAGTGGTGCCCTGCATAGCGATGATAATCCGTTTCGGAAAAATCGTCGCTATGTGGATTCATCGCTATATGGAACAAAAAAGCCTATAGGAATGCATTAAAACACATTTAATGCATTCCTATGGGCTAAAAACTCACCGTTATGCGAAAATCCTCCATACGGCCGCCATTTCCGCTGCCCAGTAAGTGAGGAATGGGCGCGAAAACACAGCGGGCGGCCATTTTTTTTACCTGGCAGCCATTTTGGAACCGCTGATCAGCTGTTCTAAAAACATCGCTATGCGAAAATTGGTAAGCGAAATAGCTTACCGATCATTGCAAAGCGATGTTTTACCATTTAAAACATCGCAATGCGATCGCTTTTGTGATCGCAAAAACTTAATCACTATGCGGATTCATTGTTAAACAGGGCGCCCGTTATGCGGGGCACCACTGTATATAGTGTTTGCTATTACCGGTGGTTTTCAGCACTCTGTGGGGGAACCAACCCTTCACAAATACAGGGGTCCTACTGAAATAACTTCTGCATCCTCTCCCTTGCGCATGAATCCTGCTCTAGCTGGTCATACGCAAAACTGACCTCCTGTTGGTACACAAGGTCTACAGAAAACCCACCCACACAGACCGGTACCTACACAGAAACTCCAACCACCACCCTCAGCAAAAAAGAGGCATAATGAAAACATTGGTAGACTGTGTGAATTGGAACTGTGAAGCTCAATTTCTCAGCACCGAACTCAACCATCTGAATTGGGCCCTACAAGCAAATAGCAACTCCAAAAATGAAATCACAAGAACCATCAAACCAAGAGAACAACACCAAACTGAAGAGGAAAAGCAGCCACTCACAAATAAAGTATTTCTGCCATACATCACAGACCACATGAGGAAACTTTTGAAAAACACAAGCTACAAACAGTATTCAAGCCCAGCACAAAAATACAACAAATGTTACAGTCATCAAAGGACAAAAGGAACCCCCTCACCACTGCAGGAGTATACCGGATACCTTGCAGTTGTGGCCAGGTATATCTTGGAACCACAAAACGAAGCATCCACACCAGAATCAAAGAACATGGGAGACACTGCAGACTAAAACAACCAGAAAAATCTGCAGTAGCCGAACCTGCCCTAAAACAAGCTGGACATGAAATTCTATTTCAAAACACAAAAGTACTGGACAACACCAGCAATCATATTATATTAGACTGCACAGGGAAGCCATTGAAATCCACAAACACCAGCAGAGCGTCAACAAAAAAGAAGAAAGTTTAAAATGCAACAAAACCTGGTTCCCAGCACTGAAAACTACAGCCTGCAAAAGGTTAGCAAACTCTACCCAGCCACAAGGACCGGTGATCACTGCACACAAAAGGCCAGCTAACAACACCCATCAATCTCAGTGACAGATAATCTCTCCCCCTTATCACAACAATACACCCACAACAAAACAAACAAAAACATGCTGATCACCACAATCACCCATCTCCTGAAAAGGACAAAAGCTGCCCCCCCCAGTTTTGCATCTCTTCCTGCGGATTTGCAAAGGCCACCTTATTTACGCTCACCAGGGTGCTCTTCTGCCGTGTGTTTCGGTGACGGGGGAGATGTGGCCTGTGTGTATTCCCACATGACCATCCTTTCCTCCCCCCCCGCCTATCTGTGGCCAGCCTCCACGGGAGGCAAAGAGGCCCCTTCTTGCCCCCCAATGGTGAGGGAAAGCCACTGACCTTCCAGAGCGGGCAAGACCGTTCTCCTCATGGCCAGGACCAAGCCCAGAGGAGACCCAAAGAGGAAGAAGTCGGACACGTCAAAATCAAAACGCCCCAGATTGACATCCGACGACAGGTTGGAGGAGTTCTCTGGTGGAAAATCCTCGTCCAGCATCGTTGAATGGATGCTTGGGGGGGAGGAGAGAAAAGAGAGAGAGAAAGAGGATAATCATCTTCTTGGATGATTGTGGGTTGATCTTTAGCCCTTCTCAGATGCAAGACGGAATCCAATCAAAGGGCCTGCCTTTTTTCCAGACTTGCACTAGAAGTTGCCTTTGGAAATGACTATAATACCCAGAATCCTCCAGCTGCTTGTGTTCAGGTTCATATCAAGGCAACTTTCATGATCCCCCAAAGGCCATGAACACCTTAGCCGTGAAAACCGATTACAGTGGTGCCTCGCTTAACGATTACCTCGTTAAACAACGAATCCGCTTGACAATTAGGTTTTTGCAATCGCTTTTGCGATCGCAAAACAATGTTCTAATGGGAAAAAACACTTTATGATGATCGGTTCCCTGCGTTGGGAACCGATTTTTGCTTTACGACGATCAAAACAGCTGATCGTCGGGTTTCCAAAATGGCCGCCCGCTATGCAAAATGGCTCCCCGCTGTTTTCAGGACAGATTTTTCACTATACAGGGAGCAGAAAATGGCCGCTCTATGGAGGATCTTCGCTGGACAAGCAGGTATTTCGCCCATTGGAACGAAATGAACGTTTTTCAATGCATTTCAATGGGCTTTTATATTTTGCTTGATGACAATTTCGCTCTACAGCGATTTCGCTGGAATGGATTAACGTCGTCAAGCAAGGCACCACTGTATGTCCCTTCTTCCAAAACTCACCGGCTCCGATGGGAGCCCATAATATTCCTTGCCGGCTGGCTCTCCTTCCCCCCTGCCTTGCTCACGCCCCCTGAACTGCCCAGAAAGGGGGCTGAGCCCCACACACGGTTCTATGGCTAACCTGGACAGGAAAGCGTGGTGCTGCGCAATGGCGTCACACTCGTAGACGGAGCCGTCGCTCTGTTTCCGCGGCAACAGTTGCTGGGGCTCCTCGTTTTCCACCATGCCCGAGATGTCAATATTGCTCTTGCTGAGGCGCTTGAGATCCCCCAGGTTTGAGTCTTCTGCAGAGAGGGAACTGTCCTGAAAAAAACGGGGAGGGGGCCACAAAGGGGGAGAGAGACATGGGGCTCGGGGCTGAATTCACACTCGTGCATCCTGTGGCCGAGGCAGGCAAAGCAGCAAACAAAACACACACACACACACATCCAAATCCAGGTGAAAACCCTGCTCAGAAAGCCACTACATGAGGAGGAGAGGCTGCTGGACCAAAGTGTAAAGAGCTGCCCAGGGCATCCACGTGCAAAGTTCCCTCTGGTTTCACACGCCTTTCACTCTGAATTAATCTGGTGAATTGCACTCATTTGGGGCTTGTGCTCAGTCCTAAATCGTATCCCCCCCTGACAACTGATCCGCCATCGCCAGAGTTTCCCGAGACAAAAAAAGGTTTCTAAAAGCCTTAATTCCACCGGAAAGCTTATTCTTCCTTCACAAAGAGATTGTCTCAAAATTTCTCCCTCTGCCTTGCGTAGATAGAAAACCTTTCTCCCTAACAGCCCATTTCCTGAAAATTGGCTGCCGGAGACACAGCGGATCGAGGCTGCTTCGAAAGTGCATGGGGAGGAGTGGGGGGCCGGAGGAGAAGGAGAGGAATAATTGAAACTCTCCTAGACATGCTTTCGCTTTCCTGGAGAGTTAAACCCTCTCCGATTTGAAAATGACTTCCCATTTGTTCCTGGGGCCTTCAACTTTGCCGTAATGGAATCGACTCAAAGCGACGTTAAAGTTGGCCACCAACGGGCAAAGTGGCCTGGAGAATCACAGCATCAATTTTAATGGAATTATACTTGAGTCAGCATCGTGAGCCAAGGACAGCTGTCAATGGAGTAATTATGTCTTTCTACCTGCCTCTTCGTAATCTCCGATGAAGCACACACACACATCCCCACCAGAAATGGCAGGATGGATCCCGCCCTCCCCTGAAGGACTCCAGTTCAGTTCTCTATGGACAGAAGTGGTTTCAGGCGCAACTCAGATCAGGAGACTAACGAGGGCTACCACTCTGGTGTGTGCTCAGCTAGGCATCATGTCCCACTAAACCAGCATGAAATCACTCGGGATAAATTGCTTTTCCTAGTACACACGTCCTAATTGCTACAAAGAAGTGATCCTCTCAGGTCCATCTCTCATCTACACCTTTTTCCCCCTTTTTGGCCAAAAACAGTTTGGATTTGGATGCAATCCAAAGTGCTTAAATGCCCCATTCCACGCCCCTAAGCCATCAACTCCATATACGTTACCTGCTACTATCGACTTAACCACAGGCATTCTTAAGCTCCGTTGCGGCCATCCTTCCTGCTACAACATGGCGGGCTTTACTTGCATTACGTGCAGAATTTACAAACCAGATTTGCACAAAAAAAGGGCCATGTTTATTTATTTATTTATGTTTAAAAATGTTTTGAGCCCTGAATGAGCAAGGACACAGATTCTGCTCTTGCCAAAACCTTTCATTCTCGGGTGAATCTATGATGGCCCAGCCATCTGTCTACCGGTTGGGTTTCCTTCTGGGCCAGGACGGCTTCTCCAAGAGGGAATGCCAGGCGCAGCCAAGAAATTTAAAAGGAAGCCCTTTTCTCCTAGTGCAAGTGGTTGAGAGTGACACACACACACACACACAGAATCTCTATGTCTTTCTACGTTGTGTTAGAAGTTGGAACCGACCGACAGTGACCCTAATAGGATTTTCAACATTAAGTGAGATATTTAAGGAGGGTTTTTAACCAGTTGGAACCGACCGACAGTGACCCTAATAGGGTTTTCAATGTTAAGTGAGATATTTAAGGAGGGGTTTTAACCAATTCCACCCCAGTCAGCCTCCATGGCTGAGTGGGGATTTGAACTCATGTCTCCCATGTCCTAGGTCTACACTCTGTCTGCCCTACCAGGTACCTTATTCCTCTCTATGGCACAGATGTTTAAATGCCACCCACAGCTCTGACAACCACTATTTGCTAGTTTCCTGAGAGAGGCCTCGTCTGGCACAAAGCGACCCATAATCCTGGTTACCTGCACCTTTTTTTTCCCAGGACTCTGTCCCTTTGATATCTCATGAGAACTAGAGGTTTGAGTTTTAAAAAAAGCAAAGTGGTAGACTGCACTCTCCTTCTCCCTGGCATTCCCACCTGCTGGGGCAGGCTCATTTTGCAGTGCGTTTCCTAGGATAGGCAGAAATGCCACAGAGGCCCATTGCCAAGGCAGGAAAGAAGTTCAGCCAGCTTTGATGCATCTGCTGGTCACAGGCCCTTCCCCATCCTCTCCTAGCCCCCCATTTCCCAAGCTAACTAAGGGAGCCTGGCAACCGGTGCCACGCAGGGCGTCTAGACAAACACAACATTCCTGGTTCAATGGACGATTTCACAGGGAGAAGGGGAGCCGCCGAGCCAACCAGCTGCCAGTCGCAGCCCGACAGCTGGCCGCTCCTCTACCACCATCTGGTGTCTCCCCCGGTTGGCGGCCCCCGGAGGCCAAGCCAGAGGGCCTGCCCCATCATTTCAGCCCTGCCAGCTGCCCGCCACCCCCCCCCAATGAAGTGTACCTGGGCACTGCTGGTGCTGCCCCTTCGGCTGCTGGCTTGGCTTTCGTCCGCCAGGCCGGTACTGTAGCAGATGGCATCGAATCCCAGGATGGCCCCCACGCAGTCGCCAATGAGGCACACCTGCAGGAGGAAGAGGAAGGAGGAGGAGGAAGAAGAAGAGAGGGTTGGTTCCATTCTCCGTCAGTGGCAAGACCAGAGGCCTCGCCCTGGACCACCAGGAGGGCTTCTCCAACACACAACGATGCTGGCGGTGAGGTTTTTTGCTTCTAAAACAGCCACAGCCTCTTCACAAAAATTGCCTGCCCGGGGGCGGGGGGAAAACATATGCCAAGGAAGCAGAAGTCCTCCAGCCCAGGCTGTATCTCTGGAGGCCAACCATGCACCCCATAAGACTTGCCCATCTCCAACGCAGGAGGGGTCGCCGCAAATCAAGTCAAGCCACCAGAAAGGCTGATCCTCCCCTGATCTCAGCCCAAGGGGGGGGGAAATTAAGCTACCCAGCCGCCCGCGGGCTCTCCGGATGGGCCTAGGCAGGAGAGGAGGGTGGCCCTCAAGCCATGGGCTCACTCGGTGCCAATCCTCTGTGGCCACGCGGGCACCCTCGGCCTTTGAGTCTTGTTGGGATTTGGGCCCCAGCCGTTCCACCAGCCGCAGAAAAAGAAGACACAACACTCAAGGATGTCCAAGGTGAGGTTTTTTTGGAAAGATGGGCAGGGCTTCCTCCCTTCTCCCCACACCGTTCTGCTTTGTGGGGGTGGCTTTGCCCCAGGCAAGACAAGAGGAACTTGGATTTGGGGGGGGGTGCCCAGCATGGCCCCAACTCTGTGGGCTTAGCCCGATCTCAGGGGCAGGCGGTTCTGCCAAGCTGGCCAGGCAGGGTTCGAAGGCAGCTGGCATTTAGAACAACCCAGCAGACTCCCACGGCCGGCACCAAATCCCTCTCCCCTTCTTGGGACTGTCAGACCTGCACCCCACAAAGTCTCAGGAAGCTTTTTTTGGGGGGGGGCTTGAAACTCACATTCAGGCAGCCCCACCTGGGGGCAACTTCCTTCCATCAAAGACAGCGAGGAGAAAGAAGAAGCGACTCTGCCGGCATAAGGCTTACCAACCCAAAGAGGCCCTGAGTGAAAAGGGGGTGGGTGGGAGCCTCTGACTGGGGTCCAGTCGAACCCCTGCGGAAGCCCCGACTTTTACATTTGCTCTCAAAAATGGCCCTACCTGCCCGTTGAAGCCGGTCCCGTCGGGGGATTTGAGGAATTCGTTGTAGACCTGGTTGGCTCGGCTGATCACCATGGCGACCGCATCCTGGTACCTCGGGGAGGAGATGGCCAGGAGCGGCAAAGCGGCCAGCGGGATGTGGTCCTCGCTGCAGCTTAAAGACGTCTCATCGTAGCTGTATGGGTTGAGGCTGCAAGAACGGACGAAAAGGGCGCTGCCGGTTACTGTGAGCACCATTGACAGCAAGTGTGCAAAGAAGAGAGACATGGTCATTAAAAAAAGAAAAAGAAACAGGCAAGGCTTTTCACATCTGGATGGCATGGGTGCCCACGTGGCTGCCCCACACCCCAAACCAGAATTCGTCCTCACTCCAAAATCTGGGGGAAAGAACATAACACACAAAAATGTGTGGACATATACATCGGATGCACCGACCTCATCTCGAATTCTGGATCAAGTCTACGTTTGAGCATCGATTGTACTAACCGGTTACCCTGAGAAAACCACGCCTCCCACTTCCAAATGGCCAAAACCGCCCCCCAAAAAAGTGAGTCTTATGCCAACAGGAAAGGATCCCAGGTAACGCAGGATAAGACCCAGCCTACCTGGGGAGCTGCAGGGTGAGAGCACTCACAAGGTCTTCCAAACGCTCCAGTGTGCAAGGGAAACCCTGGGAGCAAATTATTCTACTTTGAGTACTTCCATAGGAACCTGCCCAGACCTTAAGGTTGGCCACCAAGGCTTGGCAGCCCTGCCCACAAGGAAGATGAAGCCTTTTCTGCAGTGGCCCCATTTTTCTGGGGTGCCTGTACGGCTCCCTCTGTAAGCTTAAAGTCCTGGTTCTTCTGCTTGGCTTTTAACGAATGACAGGCTCCTCTTTTATATAACCCGGGCTTCGTTTTCTTTTCTTTAAATGCAGCCACTGTTTTAAGCATTTGCTGAGCACGGCCTTTCCCCTTTTTTGTAGTAAATTCAGAACAGATGCATAAAAATGATTAAAAACAGACCGAGAAATGTTGTTGTTTTTTAAATCATCAGATGAAAAACATTCTTTAGAAGGCGACCCAAAACATGCCATAAAAGCCAGTTTTGAACATTCAGAAACATACGGAGCAACTGGAGTTTATAAATGGTTGTTTCGGCACCTTTTTCGTTTGCCTTCAAAGGCGGCCTTAGAGAGACACCCAACAAGCCTGTAAACAAATGAAAACGGAAGACACCTTGGAAGTGGATGGAACGTATCATCGGCACGCCCTTTTTTGTCTAAAAAAGGTGTTTCCTGGACGACACGAGCACAGAAAAAGTCTATCCCTGGGAAGCAATGTGTGCCGGTGTGTCTTCCTTTCCGTCAATTAAAGCCAGAAGCACCAGCCGGGCGCTCCCCACAAGATGAGCCCATCTGCTCTCTCTCTTCCCTCCAGAAGGCCAAAGCCCTCCAGAAAAAGGAGGAGACCCTCAACCACTTTCCTCCTACACCCATAGAAGGGTGGCCCAGAAGTTCGTCTGACCCATCCTGGCATCTAGGAGAGACCCGCACTCACTGGGGGAGGAGGGCAGGAGTGTCAAATTCAACCATCATCCACACATTGTGAAGTATTTGCTCAACACCGATCTGAAGGAGAAGACCCCTAACTCTCCGTCCACCCGCTGGCCAGCCTCTGCTTGGCCACCCTGCTCTTCAGCACCGTGGGACCGAGCGGCGCGCGGAAACAACAACGCCAGGGACTCCTGTTTATCTGCTCTGACCCCACTTCACCAGCAAGAGCTGCTTGACAGCCAGAGCCGCCTGCCACCACTTGAGACAATCTGGGAAGGCGAAAGAGGAAATTAATTTTTCCCCGGGGAGAAGAGGCAACAAAGCAGACGGCCAAGGAGCAGAGCATCTTGCATTGCGGGAAGGGGAAAAGCCGGTTCAACCCCGGAGAAGCAGAGGAGCAGAGCATCTTGCATTGCGGGAAGGGAAAAAGCCGGTTCCACCCCGGAGAAGCAGAAGAAAGAAAAAAAAAACCAAAACACACACACACACACACAAAACAAAACAAAACAAAACTTTCTGTTGTTCTGTCCGAGCCCCGAGCCGAGTGGGTTCAAGCCTTTCGGCCAAATTAATTCCTGTCCAGGTGGCAGGGAAAGCAAACAAACAAACAAACAAAAAACTTTCTGTTGTTCTGTCCAAGCCCCGAGCCCAGTGGGTTCAAGCCCTTCGGCCAAATTAATTCCTGTCCAGGTGGCAGGGCAGAAAAAAGGAAGGAAGGAAGGAAGGAAGGAAGGAAAACAAGACTGAGCCAATCCATCAAGGGAAGACAGGTGGTCCTCCCCTAAGAAAGAAAGAAAGAAAGAAAGACAAGACTGAGCCAATCCATCAAGGGAAGGCAAGTGGTCCTCCCTCCATCAGGGAGAAGCAGTGGAGAAAGGGCCACTTTAGGGAAGAACCTTTAAAGCATGGAGGGGAAGGTGGGGCATGTGCTAAAGGGCTCCATGGAGCGATCTGGGGTAGGGAGGCTGTGAATACTAGGGTCCCCTCCTGGTGCCAGTGTGCCCACCCACGGGGAAGAGACATCTCGCTACCAACCCCCTCTGGCCGGAACCGCCAGCCTCAAAGTACCTCCCCTTCAACGCACGGGGCAGATTCTGGAAGAGACAGGCTGGGCTCTCTGCTTCCCAAAACTGGAGGACCGTTCCTGCCTGGAGAGGCTTGCAATCTACGTGGTCACACAAGAGGAGGTGAGAGAGGGAGGAGAGGGGAAGGGAGGGGGGCAATCAGCAGTCTCAAAGGGGACCAAGGAAGCCCCTTTGCTCAAACCCAAGTGGGGGGGAACCCTCTTGAGCACAAGGCAAAGGGTGAGTTCCAGAGGAGAGAAGAAAGGAAGGCCCAGCAGAGACATGCAAACGATGCGCCCGAAAACCTTTCCACCATGGGGTTTGCCATAAGCAGGCGGCGGGGGGGGGACGGGCACCTCCTCCTGAGCACAGCAGATGGCAAAGCTTCTGTCCTCAAAATACTGTAAAGTAAGGGCCTGGCGTGCTCTGGTCCATGGGGTCACGAAGAGTCGGACACAACTAAATGACTAAACGAACGAACGAACACAACTGCCCATGCGGGTGGGGGTGGGGGGAACTCCTGAGCACAGCAGATGGCAAAGCTCCTGTCCTCAAAATACTGTAAAGTAACACAACTGCCCATGCGGGTGGGGTGGGGGGAATGGGACGGTTGAACAGAGAACGGCACCCAAATCTAGCCCTGGACCATTAGATGAACAGAGAGAGAGATTGAGATTCACCCCGAATTAGGAAACCAGATGGAGAAGAAGGACAGGAACAGACGGATGACCCACAAAGTTCGAGAGACAGAAGGACGAAACCCACCATCAGAGGCTTCGCATCCATGCGGCGGGAAGCGGGTCAGACACAGAGAAGGGCCACTAAAGATACCAATCTGGTCACAGCAGGAAAGATGATGGTTGGCCTTGGGGGTGAAGCTCATCCTGCTCAGAGGGGGGAAGAGGGAGCTTTCAGCCTTAGGGTGTCCCAGTCCAGATGTAGTCTACCGTGGGACACTTAACAGCGGAGAAAGGGTGGTAGCCATCTTCACCCACACACACACCCCTCTTGCTCAGTTCCTACTCTCAGGGCAGCCCCGTTTGAGTTGGCCTTTGCATCCAAGCCTTGGGGGGGGAGGCGTTGTCTCTCCTTGGAAAGAGCGGCTGCTGGAGACGAAGATGGATGTTGGAGGGGGATTAAGTGGTTTTACAAAGGCGCCTTCTTCTTCAACATCTCCGCTCTTTGCAAGCAAACACACAGCTTAGCGGATTGTTCTCGGAGGAACAGTCAGTTTCTGGACAGGGAGGTGCTTTCCCCTTATATCCTGTTAAGAATTCTTGCTTCTCTGTTCAGCGTTTTTGACTTCCCACCCTCGTTTTCCAAACTATTTCTCACTGCCTTCTTCTTGAATTGGGTTTTTCCCCCCCTCATTTTTCCTTTGTGTGGCATGCATGCACGCTTGTGCATCCAATACAAAGCATTTCACAGTCGGAAAGGCACAGTCAAGCTCCGTTGCCTGCTATATTTGGCCACAAGATGCAAGCCAGAGTCTGAAGGGTCAAATCCAGAGACAAAAAAAATTGCAGGCAAGTGGTGTAAACAGGATCGGGGGGAATAAAGCTGAAAAACGTCTGAAAGAGGCAAAGCCTTCCTAAAGCCTACAAGTGTTACCGGCCAAATCTGTCCTTGGTTTGAGACCTCATGAGAAGAGAGCTGCTTCTATCAGAATTCAGCTCTCCACGAGATGCAAAAGGGACTGAGAAGAGAGGCGGGCCCAACTCTCACTCTGCTGTCCGTCAAACTGACCCTGGAAGTAGCGTTGACTGGATGACAAAACCTCTCCACCAGAGGAAGTCAAGAACGAGAAGGTGAAACCTAATTATTTACAAGGCAGTTTAAATAAATTAATGCCTGTGAAGACACTGCAGAAAACAGCAATTATGTCAGGAGGTATATTTTGACACATGCACTGGCTCAGTTAACGGCCAATTATGCTGATAAGCCTGACGAGCTGAGGGCAAGGGAAGAGAGAGAGATTTCTCTTCTACTTCTGGATTTATTGCACAGCCGACAGAAAATAATGGCGTTAATTACATCTTGTGCCTGTTCTACCGACTTCTGGCATGGCCTGACCTTCTCAGACATTCAACGCCTCAGAGAAGCCGCGTCAGAGCCACGGATGGAGGAGCGCACACTAACTCCCTTGGAAACCAGGTGAGAAGATGCGCTATGTGCTCACTATGGCCCTTCAGTGAAAGCCCACAGGGAGAGGCACTTGGTGTGTGTGTGTGTGGGGGGGGAAGCAGTCTGTTCCCCCTGCCCCACAAGTGGACTGAGAGGGACCTGTCCCATTGCCCCAGTTTTCACCAAAAAATGGATCGTGCCCCCCTTGGTGCTTCCCCCACAAATGGATCGTGCCCCCCTGGACAACAGCTCTGTTCCATGGGGCAGAAGGATGGCTTTCAGGACCTGCCCTGGGGGGGCCTGAATAACACTGGTTCCTTTCGTCCCCCAGCCATGGGGAGTGGGGGTGGGGCTGCTCCCACGCTCCCTGCCGACGGGCCCTCCTTGCCCACCAGCCCCACTCCGTGCCAGCTCTGAGCATCCCGCCTGCCACTCATCCCTTGCTCTCTGGAAGGGTTGTGGGATAAAAGGTCTCCCTCTGTCCCATGGAAACCGGCAGGAGAGGGGGTGGGCAGGTCCCCAGGGCCTGGGGGGGTCTCTGCCCCTCAGCTCCAAGACAGGAAGGACAAGTGGGGTCAGATGGCCCCTCCAGTCCTTCTCATTCCCTCTGGGGGTGTGGGAAGGTCTCCTGCAGACACATCTAAAGTCTGGGTCTTTCCCCCCTGCCTGCTCCGAGAACTGGGTGGGTGGGTGGAGGAATGGCAGCAGCCACTCATTGGGGAAACAGAGAGCTTTTTACCTTTGATTTCCCCATGGAAACTGGACTAGGGGGGCAGGACACCCTGTCCTTCGGCCTCTCCCCCCAGGATGGCAGGAAGCAGCTCACCAGGGCAAGAGAGGCGTTTCACACCCACCCACCGACTTATGTGCTCATTTCTCTCCACCCCAATGGTGCGGGGTGGGGCTGGCCCCTGAACAGGCCAGCAAGGACCCTTCCCCAACCCCTCCACAGACCACCTCCCCCCCCAAGAGCAAGAGTTCTGGGGGTTTAGCGCCACACACCAGCCCAGCCCC